CAAACTCTGAAATCCAGAAGGAGATGTGCGTGAGGGAGCTTGTTTGAATGTTTGAGCTACTGGGAAAACAATACGTGGCAGGGAAACAATCAACGTTAGGAAGAAATACAATTGCTTAACGGTGTGCCGGAAGAGAGGAAGGTGGCTGAGTCCTGGCCCTGGGGCCAGAGGAGGGAACGGTCCAGGGTGCCGGGCCCAGCACCACTGGCCCCTCGCCCCTGCTTGGCGCTGAGAAAGCAGAAAAGCAAAACAGACCAGTGGAAGCTCTCAGCCCAAACGCTATCCTGCTGGCTGGGGTTGGGGCGGGGGGGCATTGACCAGGACTGCATCTCAGCCACCAGATACTCAGCCCTCAGCTGGCCTCAGGCTGTGGTGCCTTTTCCCTTTTCCCAGAGGAAGGTGACTCCGTTTGGGTACTGCAAGCAGTTGAGATGCTGGTTGAGGCTTCCAAAGTCCCTGATGCCACGAGGCAGCACTGGGTCCTCTTTGGAAGTCCCGGAAAGACCTCAGAACGGCGTCCTCCCTCAAAGATCAGAGGAGACAGATGGGTCACTGGGTGAATTTGTTTTTCAGGACCGATTGTGGAGGCATATCAGAGTCTACTCGTTGCCTGCGTGTCTCTTGTGAAAAAGCCTCTCACACACACCAAAGCCGTCACAACGTCAGGCACAGTTAAATTTCGAATCTCAGGAGGGGAGGCATTGATCATCAAAAGAGATTTCACCTGTTCTTTCAGTCGTCCCTTCAAAGTGTTTTATCCTGGTTAGAGAAGCGGGGGAAAGCCCAGAATTTCGCTTGATTGAACCAAGCCACTTATTGCAAGCAGAAGGAGCCGTAGCCACTGTTGGTATTTCAGTCTATCCATCCACAGTCTCTCAACTCCTCCCTGTTGTAATTCGGATGGAGGTTTTCTCCTCTTTAAATTTTGAAATTCAGAGATTAAGCAGGAATAAAAATTGTGGAGTATGAGTCTTCGAATTCAGGAGAATCTTTCCTTGTGAATTGATTCGGTGTTTAAAATACTTTAAAAACTCTAAGGAGAAGGCATCCCAAAGCGGATGCCCTTTGTGAGGGTGAAATATTTCTTTGTCTTAAAGAATATCATGGGGGAATGTTAATTTTCATACAGGGCTCCTTCTAACCGAGAGCAGCCTCTACTGCCTCCCGCCCCACTGTCAGTTTCTCTGCCTTTTGTGGAGAGCGCGGCTGTTGATTTGTCCCAGAGCTCCGTTCACCTACAAGGAGCCGCCTCTTTGTGTCTGGAAAGTGATAAAAGGGAGAGAAAATAGGCAGGGTCACGCGAAATGCAGTTCTAACTCCGAGGACCTGTTTTTGGTGCTGTTCACCCATGTTCAATTAAGTCATTGTTGTTACAAAGAGGACCTGAAGTGTTGAAACAAGGACTTAACTTCAGATCAAGTCTGTTTGGCATCATTATTTTTTAAAGCCGTTTAGAGCAGACATTTATTGGCGCTAGTAAACTCAGCTGTTGTTAAGAGGCTCCCACCCTCAGATCCTTAAAGCAGGGAGAAAATTCCAGCCCTGCCTATGCAGCACAACCGGCAACTCAGATGCCACTTAAACAGTGCAGCAGGCGCAGCTGCTTACAGAGATACGCGGACACTGTCATTTAAACAAATACACAGCCCTGTGCTCAGTCGCCCTCCTCCCCTAAGGCCATGGCTGGGCCCTCGCGGGTAGCAGAAGCTCCAGGATTTCTCTCTCCCTGAACACACTTCTCTTGCCCCCTCTGTGAAAACTCAGCCTCAGTCTCTCCGTGGTGTAGACTTGGCCCGGGTCTGGGTATGAGGGACGGAAAGTCATGCAATAAAATGAGGGTTATGAACAGGCTACAGGAATGTCTGAAGGGCTGCAATAATAATTTATGACAAACTCTGCACGGAGGGAGTGGGAGCGCAGGCCAACAAACGCATCCTGGAGCCGGGTGCCCGGGGCCCAGCCCCCAGACTCCAGGTTCCCAGCAGCCCAGCCTTTGTCCGGGAAGTCGTCCACCCCAACCAAGGCTTTCTCAGCTTGTCTGATCCATGAGGCCTTGGTGCCTCTGGGAGCAGGTCGTAAAAGTGCAGCCATCTTTGTGTGCACCCTGCACTGGTGGCACAGGCAGGGCCAGCAAGTTGGGGAAAGTGCAGCTTACCTTGTTTCCCCACCACCACCACCACCACAGCAGTTAGAGGCATGTCAGGGACCTCCCTGACCCCACAGCTCCACCCCGGGCCTGTGATTAGAACTAATGGTGATTAATTGTCTGCAGCTCAAAGTCCCAGTGGCCACAGAGCCAGCCCACACCCTGTGTCCCCCACCAGGCCAGGTGCCTCCTCCTGTGGGTCCCAGCCAGGGAGGGAGAACCTGTGTCCCAGCACAAGGGCAAGGAGGCTTCCTGGGGAGGCCAGATGACCTCGGGGCTGGGGTGGAGGGTTTCGGGAGGTCTGGCAGCCCTCAGAGAGGGGAAGAGGTGGGGGATCTCCTCCACAGACCTGGCTGTCCCTGGAGGAAGATGGATGCGGGAGCCCAGGTGGCCTTCACAGTGTAGTGAAGGGTGGTCCTGGCCTTCGGGGGGGGTTGGAGGATCCCAGGGGCCCTGTGGCCCTCAGAATGGAGCAGGCACAAGGGGCAGCCGTGCCAAGTCCCCTCCCAGCCTGCTGGAGTGGGAAGTTGTGTCCCCAGAGCTGCTGCATCACAGAGACCCCAGGTCAGAGCAGCGGCCCCTACGGCCCTCAAGGAGGGACATGGCCTAAAGGGAAGTGCGGGTAGACAGGTCCATGTCGCCCTCTAATGGGAACCCTGAGAAGCCGGTGCCTCATGCCGCCCTCTCCTGCCTGAGGCCCCGGCCAGGCCACCTGCCCAAGGGGTGTCAGCAGCCTGAGGCCCTTAATGCCTTGCTGGGCCTTAAGCATGCACTTGCTGTGTGCACTTGCCGCATAGTCCAGACAGAAGTATGATCGTGCTGCTTGCTAGTAACTCCCAACTCACTGCCGTCATAACCCCAGGTCCCAGTCCTGAGGGTCCCTGAGGGTCCCAGCGGGATTGCTCCCCAACCTGAATTTAGGGGCTTATTTTGAAATACAATGGCTCACGCCTGATATTTATTTATTTGTTTGTTTGATTGTTTATTTATTTATTTATTGGACAGATTCTCACTCTGCTGCCCAGGTTGGAGTACGGTGGCACAATCTCAGCTCACTACAGCCTTGACCTCCTGGGCTCAGGTGATCCTCCCACCTCGGCCTCCCAAGTCACTGGGACTATAGGCACACACGACCGCCCTGGGATGATGATGATGATTTTTTTATTCTGTAGAGACAAGGTCTCACTATGTTGCCCAGGCTGGAAAGTCTAATTTTTTTATAAAAAGAAACAATGATTCAGCCACTGTGTGATTTTTTTTAAAGATCAGATGATACAAAACTGAACTCTTGGTAATAACCGGTCTAGTTAGAGAGGGTAGCAGGGTCCATTTTAAAATCTCCTCATTGTTTTAGTAGCTTTCCTGAGAAAAGCTGCCAAACAAAATAACTGCCACTGACTAGTCACACAGGAACTTTACACATCAGTACAACCCAGAGTGCATGTGTACCACTCTCCCCTGAGCAGCCTGCTCTCTGGGTGTCCAGGAATTGTCACCAGTGGGCATTGGGGGTACCATATGGCTTCTGTGTCCCCCTGAGAGTTCAGTGGTTTGCTCTGGAGTGTTTGTGGTGGAGTCCACACTGCGGGGAGAGGAGAGGGGAGGTAGGCAGTGTGCTTGGCTCCATCTCTGGGGTACCTGACACATCCAGCCAGGGCCAGCTGCTGGGAGCCTGGCCTGACACAGGCCGGCCAGTGGGGCCAGGAGGGTCGCCCACAGCAAGACTGGTTGTCACCCCTCTGTTCCCGGGACCTCTTCCCTTTCCAAGCCTCAACAAGCCTTGTGTCCTCAGAGCCGTCACAGCCCCAGGTCTCCAGTCCAGGCACCTTTCTCTCGGGCCTCTCGCCTCTGGCGGGGCCTGAGACTTCTGGAAGCATCAGGGTTACTGTGATCAAAAAAGTCTCCAACCCCTACAGGTGGGGACTGTGGGGAGGGAGGAGGCGGCAGATCACCCTGAGAGAAATGCAGCCACTGACGGGCGTTTCCGGATGTTAAGACACACTGTTCCCTGGTGCCGGTTGTGTTTCTGTGAGGCCCTGTGTCCCCAGCGTCTGTACAGCACGTGGGTGCAGGGCTGGGTCTGGCCAAGTCAAGGAAGACCCCGATTCCCCACAAGGTGGCCTGGGCCTGCGCTGCCCATCCCCTGGGCTCTGTCCAGCCTGCTGGCCCCATCTGGGTTGCCCATATTCTGCACCTTGAACGTGGCTCAGCTCCCCCAGAATGACCTTCCAAACAAGTTTCCCCTCAGCCTCTGGGCTCACTCCAGGCTGCAGGGCTTAGCCTGAGCCCATCCCATTCAGGGGAGCCCCCATCTCAGACCCTGCCTAGGGGCCAGCCACTGGCATCAAGCTGGCAGCCTTCCCTCTCCTGTGAGAGCCGCAGCCCATGGCCCGACCCACAGGCCAGGGCCCAGCTCATGGCCACTCTGGAAGCAGCCAGACTCATTCTGCACTCCCAGCAGCAAAGCGTGTCTCACACACAGACACGAACTGTAATACAGGAAACTTGGGGCTCAACGGGCCCGCTCCTGATCAGAGTACCCCTGCTGCCTTTCCAGGACACGCCTTGCTGGGACCTTCGATGCTAACCCTCGCCTGTTTACTTTGGCACCCCCCTTATTGATATCTCAAAACTGCATAAAACACATTTTAAAGGGCCTCAACTCCCTCTGAGCATATCCTGCAGGTGCTCCAGAGTGCACCCTCTCAGTGGCAGTTGGAGGACAGGTCGAGTGGCTACTGGCCAGCCCCCCGGGTGCCATGTCCAGGGCATGTGGGTCGGGTGTGCACAGAGAGGTTTTCCAGATGCCACCAGACACTGTCACTTACCCTTCCTCTCTGTCCCTCCGTCTTAGATTTACTATAAAGTCATCAAGGACATCGAGCCGGGTGAGGAGTTGCTGGTGCACGTGAAGGAAGGCATCTACCCCCTGGGCACAGTGCCTCCCGGTCTAGACGGTAAGACCCCAACTGGGCTGCAGCCCCCAGGAGTCCCCACCCTGCCTGGAGGAGAAACAGACACCTGGGAGGACCTAGGGCCCCTCCCTACTTGGTGAGGGCCCAGTGGCCCCAGCTGGTGGCTGCATGGCCTTTGCAGACCCTAGGCTTGCCAAAATCACCCTCTTCACCTCTCAACATAAGGGCTTCCTTGCTCCTTCCCTGGGGCCCAGGAGATGCATGCTGTATTTCAGAAAGGCTTCGAACACTGTGGGTGAGTTGGTATCAGGTTAAATTATATCTTTGCAAGTGTCAGAGGCCTAGGAGATTTTTTTAACTGTATTATTATTATCAGCAGCAACAGTCACATCTTTTGCTTTTTTCGGTACTTAAAAAAACGGACAAAAAAAATCTCCAAACCAGCTGTGTGCCTTGGAAGCATTTCCGGCTGCCCCAGAGCCCTTAAAGGGATGGGAAGTTTTAGTCCCATGTCAGAGAGAAGTCTTTTAAAGTGGCATGCATCCTTAGTTAAAGACCAAGAGAAATGTTATTTGGCAATAAGATTTTCAGGTCCAGGTGGGGCTCACAGTTGTGCAGACAGGCACCAAGCGTCTCCGAGCAGAGCTGCAGAAAGCCTCCGGTTCCTCCCCTTCAGCCTGCCGCTTGGCTTATGTGGAGCAGGGAGGTGACAAGCAGGTCTCCCTTTCTCCTTCCTCCACACCCAAGTGCAGCTGAGAGGATGCGTGGGAAAATTCCAGGGCCACCCAGACAAGACTATCTGAGACACAGACTTATCTTCCTGTGTCCACATCGTCAAGCAACGGTCCATTCCCCCGTGGGCCCCTGAACAGTCGGCTGGGGAGGCTCCTTGGGCCCTGGGGGACTGGCCCTTCGACCCATGAGTGTCCCTGCTGGCAGACGGCGCCAGGGTTCACATCTAACTTCTTTGTTTGAATGAGACCCCAGGAGTGAACAGAAAAGCCAGCCGTTTCCGGAGCTGACAGTCCCCGGCTCGCTCGTGGAGAGCTGGGAAGATGGCTGGAGTTTTCCTTCATGCTGCCTCTCCCCCACCCCAACCACACCAGGCTTAATGATTAATGCCACTCGCTGTAGTTTTCTCTAAGGAGCCGCTTTGATTTCACGGGACAGCGGTGGCAGTGCCTCGGCCAGGGAGCTGGCCCAGGACTTGGCAGGAAGGCTCTGAGACCTGGCATGGAGAACTCTGCCTTAATTTACCCTTTCGGCTGTGGAACATGGCCTGACCATCAGGATCCTTTCTTTGTGTGGCGACAGTTCATTTCCCTGAGTTGTCCGAGAGGGAATCGCAGCAGAAGAACACTTTCACAAGCCGGATCCTATCTGTACTCTCCTCTAAAGTTTGGTTTTAATTAGGCCGTTGAGAAAAGAAAAATAAATTGCTGAGACCTGGGGGGGTGGGAGGGGGAGGTCTCGTTTTCCTTAAAATAATTGTTGAAAAGACCTATGAGTCTGAGCTAACACACGAGAACGCCAAAAACAAACCCCCTTAGCTTCAGGAGAGCGCGTGACTGTGGAATTTCATTTGTACAGTGAAATTTCTTTCTTCCAAAAGGTTTTTAAAAACCTTGACCCCTGCTCCCCACCCCCCTCCAGCCCCCGATATTAAATAACCTGGGTCTACACTTTCCCAATAATTTATCAGACATCTGTGGGCTAATTGCTTTCCACACATAATAGTCAAACATCCAATATTTGACTTTTCCAGCTCTTTTCTGTCAAGATCCTACCTCCCCGGCAGCTGCCGACCCCCGCCCCCACCACCACCCCAGTTAAATTCGGAATCGCGCAGAAAGGAAATGCAAAAATGTTCCTCACGAAGATAATTATCATAAAAAATCTTTTATCCCAGCCCCAGCTAAATGCAGCTGGCCCCTTATCACTGCAGGAATTTGGAGTGGGCCCGGGAGCGCCTTTGAGCCTGGAGTCTGGTAGATTAGTATGTAGATGCCACGTAATTGTGAACCCCTCGGCTTGGCGAGGCCATTAGGCGCTGATTTATTTTTCTGTTACATTCCTGCTCTACCCTGGAAATTGCTGATGGAACTCAAGATAGACAGGCGAGGCGCGGATTTGACAAACACGACATCAGGCCGCCAGGGCGTTGCTTTTGCGGCTGTCGGAAGCGGGTAGCCCGTGTCCTCGGCCCACGCTCCCCCAGACGTAGAGAAAGCTCCGTTTCCAGTCACTGGCTCATGTGTTTGCCAGGGGACTGTGCCCGGGTGGCGAGGAAGTCGCGGAGACCCTCATGTGCTGGCCGGAGCGGGGAGCAGAACACCTCTGCCCTGTGGTCCCGAGTGGGCCCATTCCTCAGCACCGCAGCCTTGAGAGGTGTAGTGCTGACTCCCACATGGTGTTTCAGACCAGAGGGAAGCCACTTTCTGAGGCATTCGACCTTTTATTTTGCCTTTATGCTTACGATGGGGAGGGGAAAGAATTCTCTTTCGTGAGAACTATTTTTCTTAGGAGAAAATGAAGAAAATCATTCCCATTTAAATATGCTTTTCTTTTTGGAAAGACTAGAATAATTTGCTTTTTCCCTCTCCCTAAAAAGGCCAGGAAGGTGCAGTGTACTGTGCACATGGCACATAAAGTGGACAGATAATAAGACAGGATAGGGCATGATCTCAGAATAGAGCACGTTCTTTTAGTATTAATTTAAAACAGAAATTTCTTGTGCTGGGAAAAGGAAAACATTGTAGACTGCGCCTACTTTTCCCGCCCCACCCCCGTGCCTGGCCCTGGGGTATATTCAGGACCAGCCTTACCTCCCTAGAAGCTGGGAGGCCCGTCCACACCACCTGGCTCAGACGTGTCCTGTTCCCAGATCTGTCCTTGGACAAGTCCACGGAGGACAGGGGGCGGGGAGGAGACGGGCAGCATCGGTCCCCAATTTCGTTTCCATCTAGCACCTCCAGGCCCCCTCCAACACCGTCAGCATGAGACTCAGACTGAATTCTCCTTTGAAATTCAAAAAATTTATTTCGAATCCAAATTCTAAATGAGAACTGGAAAAATCCGACGGTCAGTGGTACGGGTGGGCGGGGCTGGCATTTCTTCTTGTCTTTGTGTTCAAATTTCAACTTCTGTGATTGTTCTTCATTGGGTCCGGAAAGAGCGAAATAAAAACTGGCATTTTTCACTGAACCGCGATGCGGGTGGGAGGCCCCATGCCAGCCTCCTTCCAGCCCAGGGAGCCAGAAAGAAGCCCGCTGCCGGCTTCCAGGGGCTGGTGGGCCCGTCCCTAGATGCTGTTTTCGGGCTTCAACCGGCAGGACTTGTTCCCCCACAAAAATCCACGTTTCTGAAGACAAGGGGAGGCCTGCGGAAGGGGACCTGGAGCACTCCCAGACTCACATACTCACCTTGCTTTCTGTGTAACCCTCTGTGGGAAGGAGGGCACTGCCTGTCCAGCTCCAAAACCGTGGGAAGACTCCAGGCACACCGCCTCTCCCTCAGGCGAGTTATTCAGTCTCTCCCAGCCTCAGTTTACCAGCTCTAAAGCAGGCATACAAATACTATGGCACCTGCCTGGTGTGGGTTGATTTGATTCTGAAAGGCGTGTATGTCATCACACTTTTGGGACAGGCCTGCCACATGGGGCTCCCATAACCCCAGGTGTTGGCACCGGCTATCACAAGACTGTCATGGCAGACTCTTCCCGAAGAGTCCACGGGCTGGAATTCCGTTTCCAAGGCCCCACTGTATAGAGGGGCAGGGTGATTATTTCGTGCCCCAGCCCTGCCCCATGTGTCCTGCCCCAGCTTCCCTCCTGGCAGCCAAGGCTGAGCCAGAGTCTAGAGGGCTGTTTGGCTCAAACCAAGAGCTGCATTCTCTGGAGACCTGTGGGTGGAGCCTTTCAACCCAAAGCCTGGGCTGGGGTGTGGCACAGCCCTGTCCCCTACTCCACCCGGGAAAGGCCAGGTATCGGAACTGGACCCCACCCCTTCTGGGTGTCCTGCTGCTTTTCCCCTTGTGACCGTGTTTCCCCCAAGCCAGGGCTTTCCTGAGGCCCTCAGTGGGCAGGGCAGGGCCAGGACCCCTGGACACGGTGATCATGAGGTCACAGGGCATGCTGTGTCTTGACCAGCAGAGGTGCCTGCCCGGCTGCCCCCCAGCACACACACATCCCCAAGGCTCCTTTCACCCTGGCAGCCCTTCCCTGTCACACTGATATTTACCTTTGTCCAAAGATGTCCCCGAAAGTCACATCTGGCAAGCAGGCATCTGTGTCCCATGGTGAGTGCCGTCCAGCATGCTAGGCCACAGCATCTCAGGGCCAGAGCCCTGCCAGAGTCCCCACCTTGGGCATCTGTGACTCAGGGTGTGGCTCTGGGTCCCCACCATTAAGGGTGTCAGGTGTGGCCCAGGCCATATACCAGGAACAGCACCTCTAACCTGAGGCTCAGGGAAACTTCTGGTCAGCAGGGAGTTGCTGCTTCCTGGCTGAACCCAGCATTGCCCAGGCTGCAAAGCGGACCATCTCCTCAGGCCTCTGCAAGGGTCATGGTTGTGCTGGTCTCTCTGACACAGGGAGGGGACAGAAGGCAGCGCCTCCTGCCACCTGCCCCCACCCCCCTGCCTCCTGGCCTCTGCTCCCCTCAGGCTCAGGCCTTTCAGCCAATATTCAGACTGACTCATCGAGGCACTGCTCAGTGTCGGGTGCCCAGCCAGTCCTTGTGCACTTGCGCACACACCCAGAACACATTCACATGAGTCCACAAACATATACACACGTTCATGTGCACACAAATGCACACATTCACACCCACACATGCACGTTAACCCAGGCACGCAAACGCAATCCTATAACACACAAATGCTCACACACAAACATGTGACACATGTTCATACATGCACAACTGCACACAGATTGGCACATGCATATACATATGCATATATGTGTACATTCACACACGTGTGCACACAAAACACTTGTGCACACACAACATATGTAACAGCCATGCACACAAAACATGACATGCATACATAACATGCACAAATGCACACATAGGCATATTCACACACAGCTATACATGCAAAGTGTGCATACATATGAATACACAGACATGCACAAATATGCATTTGCCCAAACATGCAGGCACTTGCGCATGTGCAGACTAACCACATGTGTGCAGGTGTGAAAATATGCCAGTACCACCAATATTCACATGTATAGGCACATACAGAAACACAGGCACACACATTCACACATGGGTACCCCTGCATGCATGCACAGACACACAGACATGGTTGCAGATATGCTGGAATAACCACACCCATGCACACATTTGCATGTACACATGCAGCTGCATGCTCGTGCACACTAGCATCTGGGCAAGAGTTTGGTGCGAGTGTCCTCTCTCCAGCGCTGGGGGACACGGGGTCCTGCAGGGAGGGGACACCATCTCAGGTGGAAAGCTGTGCTCAGCAGCTGCAGCAGGGAGGCCGGGCTGGGCCAGGGCCCCACCAGCATGACAGCTCCAGGCCGACTGTTTGGCTTGGCACCGTGGTCAGGATGCTGCCTTGTAAACTTAATAATAGCTGCCCCCCTTTAATTTGTTTGACCTTGACGACAATAATTTATTATGCGCGCTGAAGCTCTGTCATCTTTTTCTCCTAATTCATAAACAAAGCACTTGGTCTGGCTTCCTTCCCCACTCCCGGGCGCGGGACCTCCTCCAGCCCACGGTGGCTGCCGGAGACGCAGGCTGGGCCCCACATCACTCAGGCCCCCGGGAGGCTCGGATCGAGGTCCTCTTCCCTGTGGTCACCACATCCCGGGGCAGCCTTGCGGGGTCCAGGACAAGGGCTGGAAGGAAGGAGAACAGGGACGGCCAGCGTGGGTGCAGGAAGGAGGCCGGGTCTCTAAGCCCCATGGGTCCCAGGGGTCTGAGGCTCCTCCCACCGCCCCCCTCTCTCCCACAGAGGAGCCCACGTTCCGCTGTGACGAGTGTGACGAGCTGTTCCCGTCCAAGCTGGACCTGCGGCGCCACAAGAAGTACTCGTGCGGCTCGTTGGGGGCCGGGCTCTACGAGGGCCTGGCCGAGGACCTCAAGCCTGAGAGTCTAGGCGGCGGCGGCAGCCAGGCCCACGAGTGCAAGGACTGCGAGCGCATGTTCCCCAACAAATACAGGTGCTGACCCGCCCTGCACCCCTGAGCCCCGTCCCC